ATTGTATTTATATTATTCTCATCTAATTTTTTCATATACTCATTATTATTATTATAATCATTTCAAAATATAATGAATAATAAATAAAACCATTTATATAAAAAAATTTTATAAAAATTAATTTTGAAAATTGTAATCATTAAAAATTCGTCCAGATAAATTATAATCAATCTAATCCTAAAAATCTCAAAATATGATATAAAATCCGATTGAGATTCTTTCTCTATGGTTTTCTCCCAGGACTACTATCTCCGTCATCCTGTTTAAGGTTACTCATCCGTATAGGGAGCGAGAATGAGCGTAGGTTGGTAGTAGTTGTGTTGAGAAAGGAATACTATATGTAACCAAAAGCGAGCATTCGTAACGACCGAGTTCTCGTCTCTAATCGTAAGGAACGGGGAACGTGTACGAAACGTTTTCTTTTTTTCATCACACATACTATCACATATACTATCCACATACTCATATACACATTTATTTCTTTCTTATTCTATCGGACATGTTCCTCTCGATGTCACCAATATACCATACGTAAATAAATTCGTATAACGCATACATTCTTAAATTCATATACGTGTACACAATCATACATTCACATATATTCTTTAACCACACACGTATTATCATTTCTTCTTTCTCTCTCACTCTCTATTAAACATACCATACGTAAATACATTCATACATACACATATGCATTGTATACGTATATACAATAATACATTCATACACACACATATGCATTGTATACGTATATACAATCATATATTCATACTTTAATACATAGATATATTTAAATGTGTGTGTATGTGTGTATACATATATATAGAATATACGTATACAATCATACATTCACATATATTCTTAACACACACATATTATAATTTCTTCTTTCTCTCTCACTCTCTATTGAACATACCATACGTATATACAATCATACACACTCATATAAGATATATTAAAATGTGTGTATATGTGTGTATACATATATATAAAATAAAATACATTTAAAATAGAGATGACACGTATAGTATGAGCTAACCTATACGGAGTACATCCGGTCGTGATTGGGAGTCAAGAATACACGCAAATTACACGTCGGCATTGTGTGTAGTAAAACTACGTGTAGTAAGCCGCGTAGTACGCGTAAACGCGAGACAAGACGAAACACATAAGCCACGAGGAGTGTTTCATTCTCGAAGGACATTCCCACTCCTACGCTTTTACAAAGTAATTTCGATCTCAGGGATCTTCCGACACTTTCTCGCTACGTTTTTTTTTCTATTCTCTATCTTTCATTCATTTTTTTTTTTCTTTTTTATATATATATATATATATATATATATATGTATATTTCTGTCCTTTGTATCATTCATTTTATTTATCCTATCTTTATCACTTCCCTCTTCTCACATACACACACACACACACACACTCTTATGATATTTGTCTATTTTTATCTCCGTCTTACTCATTACGTTAATCTATCTTTATTTTTCTACTAGTCTTCTAATTCGTTGGTTTACTCAACTCTATTTGCAAACCCGTTTATATATTTCGCGAGGCCCTGTACCAATTGGTAATACGAGAAGTAACATTGTGAAAATTATTTTTAAAGATTTATTGAATGTTTTAATAAAAGAATATATTTGTTATGGTTTTTATAATTAATTAAATCGAATATAGGAAATAATTTTATTTTTCAATTAATTGCAATTTGTATCAAACAAGAGGTACGCCAATGGAAATACGCGTTTCTTGTTTTAATTTATTTTTTAAATTAGATGATAGAAATATAAATTTGTCCGAAATTTATGTTGGATCTATTCCGAAGAAATTATAATTAATCAGGTTCGCGTGAAAAAATCTTTACAATCGAAAACATTCTACCACTTCGTAAGCTCGTAAGATAGAAAAAGTAAAAGCTGATTTAAATGATTCCCATGCCACCCCGGGTAACATCAGGAATTTCGATTTATCCGAAAAGATATCTTTTTCTTAGATTCCAAAATGGCGGCATCATTTTCGGAAAGAATCCTAACCGGTAGCCATCTTGTCGGGAAGAGTATAAACGTGTGTAAAATATCTCCGATGACAGTTTTTTCTTTTAAATGCCACGTGTCTGACAGAAAAACGATCTTTCATTGATGCAGTCAAAAATCCTAACCTTAAATTAAAAGAAAAAAAATGTTGAAAAGAGGAAACCGTTCGACGAAGTTTTTCGGTTTCTTTTTCCTTTTTTCTTGGAAATTTTCGAATAGGAAACCTGAAATATGTGTGTGTGTTATTTATCGCTTTCTTTTTCATGCGAAATGTGTATGATCGACAAATTATTTTTAATTAGAAAATAAATATTAAGATCTTTTGTTTAAACAAATGAAAATAGTCAAAAATGTGGTGTTGGACACCGAAGAACAATGTGGAAGAATTGTTTCGAGTTCCACCTCGTGCAAACGAACGAACGAAAGCGAATGGGACCGGACTCGACCGAGCTGCCCCTGAGGCCAGTGCCGGATCCTCTTGTTCAAGTACCCAAGGTCATCATCGCATAGCTACTTACTTGTAGTATACTTATGTACCTTCCTTTTTCTACCCCCGAGTATAATAATTCGTGAACGTTCTCACGAAACGTTTCTTCCTTTCGATATCGTGCGATCATCCTACTCACGTGCCTTGTCCAGACGATTTTACTTTTCTCCCTCTCCCTCCCTCTCTCCTTATCCCCCGTTCTTTCTTTTCTTCTTTTTTCTTTCTCTTTTTGTTTTGGAATAAATTTACAACTCGATGCGACGACGTAAAATTCCTTCACCTACCATGAACGGGAAAAGCACATTTACGTTCCCCATTTTTTTGTTTCTACGTGTGAACGATAAGTTAAAAACGTTGACACGCGTATAATAATAATAATTATAATCCCTAATGTCAATAAGAAAAATCTAAACGATTTGTAGAATATAATGTGAAATAATATGCTAACGCGTAACGAGCAACAGGTTACGCGCCACGTTGTCACTTCTAACATTTCCCGTGGTATTTAAAACGTCATCGAAAATTATCTCAAAAAAATAAATAACATTCCCACGGATTGTCACTAAGATCCATCCTTCCTCTCTGTAAATGAAAAGAAAAAGAAGATAAAATATTAAAAAAATACTCGAAAGAGAAAGTTGATAAGAGAAGGGTGACCAAGAGGATAAGAGACGTCCCTGGATACCGAACGACGAAGGAAGGTAGCAGCGGCCCTGTTATAGTCGAGCAGCTCGAACCAGTGGTCCCCTTTACACGATGCAAAAGACGCCGAGACGAAGAAAGAAAGAAAGAGAGAGAGAGAAAGAGAAAGAAGGACCGATGGAAATGAAGATAAAGCCTCTCTAAGAAAAGAGAGAGAAAGATGAAGAGAGTAAAAATCCCCTCTCAGCCCGTTCACCGTCTCGAGCGATCAACGAACTGGCGCCGATATTGGAAGAACCGAAGGGGTGGGGGGTGTCGGTCGGTCTCGTCTCGTGGGCGATGGTGGTAGTGGTGGGGATGGTTGTGTCGATGGTGGGGAGAAAAGTTGGGTCTGTGTGATAGTCACGTGACTGGCCGGCTCGGCTCTGGCGCCTGGCTGGTGGGGGCTGGGTCACGTGACTAGCCGCCGCCTCTGGCGCCGAGCGAGTGGTGGGGGTAGAGAAAGTCCCAATAGAAGGGGAAGTTTGTAGGAGCCGTTACCGTAGAACCGGCAGAGTCGGCATTAAGACCTGGTAAGTCGCCAGTGTCAGGTCGTAAGAGGAACATAGTGTTGTGAGTGAACAAGGACGGAAGCACGCTTTCGCATCCGTCAAGAGACATTTAAATATCCATAAGGGAAATCAATCTAACTAAACATATAACCCAACAGAACAACAACTCAACGAGTGTTATTTCAAACCCACAACGGGATAATTAATTATATAATTTACTTTCTTTCTAACGACGTTTTATTCTACTCTTTGTTTGTTTTTTTTTTATTAAAATTCCATCATCAATTTTTTAATAGACCAACACGTGCCTTTAATCCTGCAATCATATACATACGTACATATTATTCAACGTATATTATACATAATATATTATCGAGAAAATAACATATGAATATTTAACGTATTATTTATTGATATATATATATATATATATATATATTAAAAAAAGAGAGAGAAAGAAATAGAAAGAGAAAGAGAGAGAGTGTGAATTTGAGGAAGAGACAGAGGACGACGTTCGAGGAAAAGATCAACGGCCGAGGATAGCAGAGGTTACATATACGTGTCTACGGTACATACCTACTTACATACATACATATATATATATATATCTCTCTCTCTCTTTATTGAGAAGACACCATCCATCGTTCTCAACGATCAGAAAAGTAACCACCAAGAAGAGAAGAATTTGGAAAAATAAGAAATATATTCGATTGATTGTCATAAGAGACTAAAGGATAAGAGACAAAAAAGAAGAAAAAAAAAAAAAACGATAACAATAAAGAGACAGCAGATGATATATTAATAATATACAGATTTATATATCTTCAACGTCCTCCTAGTGGCTCGTATTTATTTTCTTCTGATTTTTTTTTTTTCGGGGGAAGTTTCTTTCTTATACAGAATATATACAGATATTTCAATTTGTTTTGTGTTATTCGGTGGATAGACAAAGTATTAAATATCTTCGATGAAATCATTTCTTTGTGCATAAATCGTAAACCAATCGAAACTAATTAACATTTGTGTTCTTTCCGTATAAACCACCCAACCACCCTTTCCTAGGTGTTTACCAAAGACAATAGACAAACGTTTATATTATTATTATTATTTTCATATTTTGTCTTGAAATACGCGCACAGTTATATATTTCATTTTTTGATTTGCGTGTTTTATAATTAAAGTGATAATCAGTGGTGTACTAAGTGCGACCGTTTAAATAACGAGAGAGAGAACAAATATCAAATCACGAATAAAAGAAGTTACTATAAAAGACTAGGAAACTGAATACTCTTACACTTCGCTTCTGGTTAAATCCGTTCACTTATTTAATTTGTCTTTCTCTCTCTCTCTTCCTGAGACAAAGTTTACTCTCTCGTAAAGACAACAATTTACAAAGAAGAAGAAAGGAAGAAGAAAATAATTTCATAAAATAGAATTTGTGATTGAAAAATAATCGAATCGTAAAGGAAACATTTAAGAATCAAAATCACACAGGATACGAAAAATTTATATTATCCACGTATAAATAAACAATTTAAGATTCATTTTCATTCTAAAGTGAATATTATATCATATTGTTTGTCAAAGTTGAATAATAATTAATTAATTAATCAAATCAATCATGGATCTACTTTGTTGCGAACGATCAACCGATACAGAGTGCAGGGCTTATGCTGATCCAGCTTTGATACAAGATGATCGGGTTTTACATAATCTATTGAAAACGGAAGAAACTTATGTACCTAACAGATCATATTTTGAGTGCGTACAGAAGGACATCTCACCGCATATGCGCAAAGTTGTAGCCGAGTGGATGCTAGAGGTAAGCTTCTTTTCAATTAAAAATATCTCTCGATAAAAAACTTTCATCAACTTCTTAGCTTAGTTTTTTTTCTTAAAACATTTCTCTTATCCCACGTGTGTGTATCTTTTTTTTTTTTGTTTTTTTTTTCATATTTTTATCTCAACAAATTTTAATAATTGTATGACAACGAATACCAATACACAATTTACAATTAAAATCACAATAATAATTTTATATTTTAATTATATTATTTATTAAATTATAGTCAGAGAATTTTGTTATTAATTATTGATACGATTTAATTGTTTTTAATGATAAAAGAAATTATGGGAAAATAATAGTGTTTCGATAATTCATATCTTCTTCTTCTTCTTCTTCTTCTTCGAGTTGGTGTTCGGTCACTTCCGTTACAAAATGGACACCGTCTTCGAAGCACACCATCAAGTTTATTAGAGTAACACTACCTTTTTCTATATTTGTCTAAAACGTTGACGCTCTCTTATGACGTTCGTGGTAAACCCTAAAGAATGTAAGAACGTGATTCCGTGAGAAAAAAAAAAAAATAAAACGATATATATAGACATTTGCGGTTTTCCTTAATTTTCTTTCTTTTTTTTTGTGTGTGTGCTTAAGGTTAAATGACCACACCACGTTTCGTTTTTCGTTTCCGAGGTTAATAATCTGCCAGCTAAGCTTAACGAAGTTTTTCTAATT